TGTGGCCAGCAGGTTGGGGAAGGTGATTCTGTCCCTCTACTCCACTCTCATGAGACCCCACTGGTGTACAGTGTCCAGCTTTGGAGTCCCCGACAAAAGACAGACATGGAGCTGCTGGAGCAAGTCCAGAGGAGCCATGAAGATAAACAGGGCATCTTCCCTACGAGTCCAGACTGTTTACCCTAGGGAAGAGAAGGGTCCAGGGAGACTTTATAGCAGCCTTCCAGTACTTAACAGGGCCTTACAGGGAAGATGAGGTGCGACTCTTTATCAGGGACTGTAGTAATAGGATGAGTGGTAATGGTTTCAAACTGAAAGAGAGTAGATTTAGATAAGATACTAAGAAAAAATTCTTTACTGTAAGGGTGGTTAGACACTGGCACAGGTTGCCCAGGGAAGCTGTGGATGCACCCTCCCTGGAAATGTTCAAAGCCTGGTTGGACAGGGCTTTGAGCAACCTGGTCTAGAGAGAGGTGTCCCTGCCCATAGCAGGGGGGTTGGGACTAGATGATCTTTAAGGTCTCTTCCAACCCAAACCATTCTATGAAATGCAATATGCCAGAAATTATCATATAACTAAATATGGTAAATACACATATATGTGCTTGCATGGTGGCATGAGAGACAAATCCAGAGAACAGAAGCAATTACAGACTGGAAAATATACTATGTGAAAGGTGATCAGGTGCAAAAAAACCCACAACCCATGGAGAAAATGTCTGAGGTTTTTTGATGGAACTGTATTTATTTTTACAACAAATTAAGCTAGTTTCAATATTAAACACCTCTCCTCCCCTAACAAGTTTTAATTAAGGCTCTATATGAAGGCGCTAACTTTTGCTATAAGAACTCTTTTCTTGCCTATTTATCTTCCTAGTAATCTAAACCAACAGAATTTTGTCTTAGCTCAGCTAAAAAGGCTCTCTTCCTATTTTCCAAATGTGAAATTGTAGTTCTTTTTCTACCAGAAGATAAGGTCAGATGCATTTCTCTCCAGATTTTTGATAGTGGCGACACCCTACAGGATTCCCAAGATCAGCTTCTTCCCCTGCCCAACTCCGTTTCTGCTCTCTCATTCAACTCAGTAACTTTGGCCCTTCTAAACTTAAAGGAATGGGAATAAAAGTTTTAGTGAAAGAAAAGAGTCAAAACCAGATGAACTCTGCAAAGTGTGAATTACTTTCAAGAAAACTGAAGAAAGCACCTGGCCCTCCTTTATAAAGTCACTTAGACCTCAAGAGAGAGGCGAGGAAGGACAAGTTTGAAGAACTACCACTTTCCATATTTCCCTAACATTAAGAGAACAGTGTGGACTGCTAGCCACTGCTCCCACCTTTCCAAACTAAATACAACAGTGTTCTGTGCCCTGCTTCCTCACAAACATACAAATCATGCCTCTCTTCCTCCTCACCTCCAGTTTAAGAACTGCAAGTCTAGGAACACTGGTACACGATGATTCTCTTCACATATGCAAAGACTGTTTCAAAAGTGGGAGATTATTAACTGCCTTTCCATGTTCACTGGGAATAGTAAAAGAAAGAGCGAGCTTAAAATTGTAGCAACGTATATATGGTTTAGCCATTATGAAAAACTTTGGAACCATAAGACTTTTTAAGCATTGGGACCAACTGCATAAGGAAGTTGAAAGATTTTTGGCAGAGGGCACAGAAGTCTTGCTGTTATAAAACACTGTATGGCCAGCAGTATCTTTATCCATGCCTTGGATATAGTAAATCATGTCTAGGAGAGGTGAAGAACGATTACACAGCCTAACAAGCTCTACCTTCCACGTTACCAGGGCAGCCACCAACTCTTTGTACTGTTGTATAAATCATACATGCATAGCTGAAGACACACACAAAAGTATATATTACCAGATGCACTGAAAAAACCAGACAATATGAATGTATTCCCCTATGTGCAATTATTTTGAATTTGATTACTGTTGTTCAGTAACCCCCACTAGCATATGGAACAGAAGAATAGAGCAGAAATGGTTAAGTCAACAAAAGAACTACTGAAATACTGATAAAATGTATGTATTTCCAAGGTTGTCTTGAAGCTTCTAATTGTCTTCAGGCTAGAAAATCTCACTGCAAAACTAATAAACCCACAGCATAATAATCTCCATGTTTACAATTTGCTGGCTATCATAGCTAGAAATAACACTGCATAATTCGAAAAAAACCTTTTTCCATATCTTTGCATGATTTAAGTTCTACAAATTTTGAGAACTGACTGACCATATAGAATATAACGGGGTGAAGATTTAAAAAAAAAAAAATACTTTAAAGGCTAATTTCCAAAGCATACTGTGAGATTTTGTTAACAAGTGTGATATTTTTCTTTAAGTGTTAATTATAAAGAATCTCTTATTTACTCCAAGCATCCACAAGGACAGGAAAAGAAGGAATTCCTTTTTATACTACTATTCCTTTTTTTTTTACTATTCCTACACTATTACTCTTTTTTATACTCCGTTTTTCTCTTGTGCCTTATGATGTCCACCACTAAGATATAAATCAATTATGAGAAAGAACATTTGCTTTACATGCATCTACATTTTACAATTCATCCTACCATTTCATATCAGCTTATGTATACAATCCTTATCTAAGTTCAAAAACTGACATTTGAAAGAAAAGAGATGGGCAATAAAAGATATGCTTTCCAGTGACAGTTAAAACAGTTTATATGTGGTACTTAACATTACACTATATCTATTCCCCAAGAGGACTTGTAGAAAGTGATGGATGTTTTTTTAAGACAGAAACTTTCTTTTCTTTACTTTCTTCTGTGATGAAACATAATATAAATGGTATCAATGAGGTAAGAGACGCAAAGAGACTCAGCAAATTGTTACAAAATTCGAACCTCTATTTTATTCTTATCTACTGTAACCATTAGTTACCTTGTTACTTTTTAAACATACTTTGCCTACAGGGTAGCACTTTAAAAACAGATGAAGGAAACACACAAAAATAAACTCTAGCAAAATTTGTGAAACTGTGAATTGAATTCTGTTTCCATGGTTTATCTTATGGTTGTAGCAGCACTAACAGTGTAAGTGATCACTGAGTAAAGCAGTGATATATTTTACAGCTAACAACATACTCCTAAACCTTGGAGAAAATCAAGCATTTTTATTTAAAGCAGCAATATACAACTTCATTACCTTAATGAGGTCCTCTCTGGAGGCAAAACTTGAAACCAAGTGATTTTCCCCATTTTTGGTGTTAGTGACTGACACATAGAGCCGGTTCTCAGCTATCTCATGAGCATTGGAAGGAAGAATAGACTCTATGCCTTCCCTAGAGTAAAGAAAATGCTAAAGATTAGTCCCTATCATTTTTTAAATACCTTGCAAATGTTAGGGGTGAAAGAGTGCTGAGCTTCCCACAGTACAGAAAAAATATGTGCACTCTCCATTTTTGTTTAGAACTTTACACAAAAATGGCCTTATGAATACATGAAGATAAGTACCTAAGTGTTTTCATAAAATCATAACCAGGCGTTACAGCACCAAAGTCCAATTTTCTAACTTCCTCTGCAAATCCATAGGCAAACTGCTTACATTTCTGCAAATTAAAATATTCATCATTAAGGATGTTTTAGTTATGGAAAGTATGTTCAACTGTGGTATCTAAAACATACTAGCAGCTACAGCTTTAATCGAGAGTTATAAGATCCAACTAAAATATTATCCCATATATGATGTTAGTAATAAGATCTGCATAACAAAATATTGATCCTCTTATAAGAGCTAAACTGTAAGACAACAAGATACCTAATTAAAAAATAAAAATAATAATAATAAACCGTCACAAAAACTTAAGCAATCAAGGAATTATTTTTCTAAATAATCAGTAATTTGAAACGTCATTACAAGAACAATCATTTATATTTCAAGTGTAAAGCCACTTTTTATTTTAAAGACTACTTCATTATTAAAATCAGACACAAGTACCTTAAGATGCCTATAAGCATTAAAAAAATTACAATTATTACAATTTCCTCTTACTAATGCAAAAACCATGCTACTAACAAATACACATATTTAATGAATAAAATACTATGGAAGTATTTAATAAAAGGAATACTATGATGGAAGACAAAGGAAGACAAGAAAACTGCAGAATATCAGGTAACAGATTCCACTGCACAGAGAACCTCTTTTATGCAAACTGAAATCACAGAATCATTTGATTGGAAAAGACCTTTAATAAGATCACAAGTCCAACCATAACCTAACTCTACCAAATCTGGAGCTAAACTATGTCCCTTATTACCACGTCAATGCATCTTTTAAACACCTCCAGGGATGGTGATCTAACCCCATCCCTGGGAAGCCTATTCCAGTATTTAATCACTCTCTCAGTGAAACAGTTACTTCTGATGTCCAGCCTAGACCTCCCCTGGTGCAACTTTAGGCCATTTCCTCTTGTCCTACCACCCGTCACTAGGGAGAAGAGACCACCTTCCATCTCACTACAACCTCCTTTCAGGAGTCGGAGAGAGTGATAAGCTCTCCCCTCAGCCTCTTCCCGCAACTAAACAACCCCGGTTCTCTCAGATGCTCCTCATAAGTCCTATGCTCCAGACCCTTCACCAGCTTTGCTGCCCTTCTCTGCACCCGCTCCAGCACTTCAGCATCTTTCTTGTAGTGAGAGCCCCAAAACTGAATACAGCACTTGAGCATTATGCCTCACATTAATGACCGCAGAAAAATAGCCTGAAGTATGAGCCATAAGAACTCCAAAAGCAGAATAAAGAAATAGGTAGCATTTATTCTTTAGCAAAAAGATTCTGAAACAATGAATTATGATTCTGAATGCTTAAGACTCACTATTCAGTATTCATATTTCTTTTTTTATCCTTTCATGCAGATTTCTGTAATGATTTTAGGGACTTGAGAAAAAACTAAATACAATCTTATGCAACTGAAATTGGTACTCAATAAATATACCTATATTCACATACATAATAAAATGTTTACAGAATAAAAGATCTGCATACAGATAGTTTGGGGTTCCTGGCTTATTAGCTTCCTGCATGAAGAATAAATACGTTGCTAGTAACAAAGTAATTGTTTGATGTGACTACGGAAAGAGAAAAAAAAACTAAAAAACAGAGAAGCAAATGCGTTCTTTTGAGAAGGAGGCTACAGGATTTAATGCAAGAAAAAACAGGAAGGAGCTGGGCTGAGGATTAGTATGAGATCAGGAACAAGCTGGTTGGAGCAGTTTAACTTCCTCACATCACCTGTACAACAGAGCACTGGCCTAAGTGAAAGACAGAAATGTAGTTCTTGCATCTACTTTCTCTAAATGGCCTTCAAATAAATGTGTCAAAAAAGTTCCTTAAGAGGTCCATATCTCTTAAAGCAACAATCACTATCAAGACTTCTGCTAATTCATTTCTCATAGGTTATATTTGAACCTTTACCCTAGGAGGTACTTGCTATTGCTAGTTCCAAGCCAATTCAAATATATAAAACTAGTTGTATGTACCAAGTCTTGAATTTATTCTACATTAGGCAGCTAGGCTTCTTCTGTAGTCAATCAGCTGGAAAGAGGCACATTCAGACACTTTTAACTCTAGATACAGAAGAAACCCACAAACCCTACAAAGCATCATCTCAGAACTATCTTCATATCTAAGATGTTTTAACAAACTGACAGAGAGCTAAGAGTAACAGGGAGCTGGATGAATCCAAACCTAGGCGAATGACACAAACCTACTTTTTCTACTGCAAGTACTAAGAACAGACCATATATTTTTTGCTCCAAATAGGACAATTTCTTATAACTATGAATTGTTTATATATGCTAGAAGCTTTAAACAATACATCTGAGTTTTAAATAGTGACTAAGGACATGTCTAGAAATTCTAATTACTTGTATTGAGTTAAGCAAACTTAACATCAAACATGATCAAGGTACTTCTGAAATGAATAGGTACCTATCTATAAATTATCTATAAGCCTCCCTAGAATTCTCAAGTCCCATGCCTTTTCAACAGTGACAAAGATATGAGATATCCAAGATATGACTGAAAAACATTTGCAAACTGCCATATTAGAACAGTAACAGTCAAAACAATAAATCCTCAATGTTACATTATCTCCAAGATAAGGAAAGGCTGTATTAGAACTCTGAGTCTAGGAGATGAAGAAAGTCTTTATTATCACTATAGCTTGTCTAAACATAGACACCTCTGGGGAAGAGGAAAAAAAAAAGGGAGGCAGGAAATTAACTGATGTAAGAGTTATACTTGTGGATATAAAACATAGCAAGTTAGAAATACAATAAAGGTAATAATATCATTATCCTGTCATACAGTAGGGCTACTGCTGTTAAGTTATGAACTGTACTGAGTCTAAAGGAGGTGTGGAAGCCGCTTCTTGTACTAATGGAGCACAGACAGCAAGGAAAAAGTTTAAGCCAGTATGTGCTGTGCTTTGACTTTATGAAGACACAGTCTATCTCCTTTCACAGGAGGATGAAAGGATGGTGCTATGCATTTGCTTAACAATGCCCACCTCTAGCCAAGAAAAAAATTATCAAGTTTGTAACGTACAGTGATTAAGTGCATTTAAATTTTGGTATATTAAAATACACCTGGTTGCATACACCTCAACATTCACACACATGAAATTTATATTTACATTGCTTGCTCCATAAACATTTCAGCCCATGAGTCACAGATTTTGTTAATGAAAACACATACTCGAGTCCTGTTTCTTTACAAGAAACAAGTAGAAAAACAAGAACAAAAATATTTAAGAAAATCTTAATGATTGATGATTATATAAAAAATATCCTTTACAAATGATCATGTCCTATACCTACGAATTTATTAATTTACCTCTATATTTTCTGGTACTGCTAATAAGACAGTGGCAGTCAGTGATCCCGCAGAAGCTCCCGCAAAAGCTTTCACAACTTTCAGTAACTTCTTACCATGCCTGTAAAAAGCAGCTGCTGCCCCCAAGTGGTAAATACCCAGAAACCCGCAAGCTGCAAATGACAGATTGATGTGTTTCATTTTTGCTGTGGAAAAGAAGTTTTACAGTCAGAAAAAGGATCTGTTAATTCCAATTTTAAATATACATCTATTCCTTTGACACCGAACACATAAGACAGTATAAATATGAAACAAAAAGCATTTTATTTAAAAACAGTAACAAGTTTTGATTCCCAAATACATCAAATAAGTTACTTCAGCATTTCCAAAACTGAAAACTCTAAAATAATCCTTAGCATAAAACCCTTTTTCAATCAAGAAATATATCTACACAAACATATATAACTGCACATTTTCATCTAATTTGTCAAATAAATACAGAATAAAAGTAGCTACACAAAAGCAATAGAATGATGCTGTTTGAAAGCAGATAGACACCTAGAGTAAAAAAACAAATAAATTATAAAACTGCTGGCCACCATGTCATCATATTCCCCTTACACACAGACAGCCTTGACCCCTATGTAATTCCACAAGAAAGCAATTCTTTTCCTTCACCTTTTGAACTTGTTTACTTACTAGTATTATTAGCAATCATTAATAGTCAGATTTCTTATTCAAAGCAATTTATTATTTGGAAAAGAAAAACACACAACATATAGTTGCTACTACTGAAATAGAGAGAATAAAAAACCACCAAGTAAAATACAAAGCACTAAGTGTATGAAAACACACACACACTCTGAAGGTGTCAAGGAAAAAATCTAAATCTAACAAAAAACACAAACAGGAAGGAAAAGTTCAGATCCTCAGGTATGGTTTTCTAAAAAAAAAAAAAGCTGTACATTTTATTAGCTCTTCTGTTTCTGTAAACAACTACAATTAGGACAGTCTGGTATTCCACAGGTTATATTGTACAGATATACAAGATACTGTACAGATTACTTTAGTATTGAATTAAAAATAAACTCCTAGTATATTTGGGTATGCATCAGTATGAATGGGACTAAAAAGAAAATATACTCCAGACTATACTTGATTTTTCTGGTTCATAATGAGATAGCTGATGAGATGCTTCTTTTAGAAAACATCTACAGATACTGTAGTGTCAGTTCTGATGAAGAATGGCAAAATGTACAGGAACAGGTTTTGGTTGAAGTTGCCTCTTCAGTTTAGAAATGGGAAGAGCAGGAAAAATGAGGGTAAGAAATAGCTTTCAGAACCCTTAGGTAAGAATACATGCTAAACTCAACTGTTTTACCCAAAACATGATTAAAATCATGTCACAAATATATCTAACTAGGTTTATTATTTCCTTAAAAAAAATAAAATGAGAAAGCAACCACGTGTGCATCTCTTCGTGCCAGGGTATACTGTCTGGTGCATCAGTTATGCTGCTAAAACACTACACTATCATAAGGTAGTTTATCAACTGCGCTTTACCTCCTTTACACTGGAAACACTTGCATATCCACTTGTAAATATGAATACCTGTAACTTATATCTAACACATTCTTACTGATAGAAAGGATTTCAGGTTGGCTCTTGCTGTGGCAATATGAGAGAAAGGCATTTGCAGTGAAGCAAATGATAAATCATGTTACTACTATTAAGAAGAAGGATCTTTTAACTTAAAGGAAAAATCACTGTACTGCCTAGAAGATAAAAAAAGTTTACTCGGGATTTTATTGGAAAACAACAAACACTATTCCACTTTGAAGATTTTTTTTTTTAGTTGAGTGCAAAGAAAATACTTTTAAGTATGATGCCATGATGTGCTTTCCTTCAGGTCAGTCAAACTCTCAGTAGTTTAAGCAACTTCTGCGACTGTTTCCATACCGTCTACAAATTAGGAGAAAAGATGCATATGCAAGGACCACTGATAAACAGGGGAAGTTGTTGAAAGCAACTGCATTACTAAATAGGAAGAAAAGCAAGCATGGAAGAGCTAACTTTCGTTTCTGACCAAAAGAGAATTCAGGCTCAAGACACTACTAATGTGAAACATTACATGAAAGAAGGGCCATGTTGATGTAGTTGTTTGGTCAGAAAACAAAGAAGTAAAGTAAGAGTTCACAAGGCCCAAGAATTATGTCTAATGGACTTATGAAATATAACTAAGAAACACAACTGTAAGATAATGAGCTTATTTAAATGAAAACAAGCATATGTATGCTTATTTACATGTATATATTCATCATCTAAGTCTTCTACAACCCTCACATACAAAGCATTCTAGAAGGTGTCTCTCCCTGCTGGAAAATACCTAGATGTTCACAAATCAAAAAAAGATGAAAACTTTAAAAAGAGTATCCAAAGAATAGTTACAACAAGAAATTTCAGATTAAAGGATTATTTTTTGAAAAGGAAAAAAGTTCCCTACAAATGTGGGAGACAATCATACTTCTGTGTATAAAGAATTGGCTGGTACATTTTCTCTAAGGAGAGAAGAACAGGAAAGGAGGTTATGTGAACTGAAGAGAGTACTTGAATCTCAGATCAAAACCTACTGAAAATATACTGACTAAAGTCAGATGTCCATGCCTTTTCCTACTTCATGAGGAGGTTTTATTTTCTTGTATGAGCTTCAGTCCTATTTAATTATCAGTTATTTTGAGTAATCACTGTTCTCTTGAGTGTCTGAATACATGGCATTCACTCTTTGATGAGAGTTAATTTCTTAACACTTAGATCCCATACTCCTCTTCCTCCTTTATTCCCCTATCCAAGAGACAGAGATACTGAATGAGTATTCACATCAGTTTCTTGGCTGGCAAAAGGATTTGGTGAGAGACAAACATGCAAAGAGAAAAAAAAACCAGTAAGATTTTAAGTAAAGGAATAGCGTTAAAGCATGCTGCTAATCTCATACTCCGTTAAGAGTAGACTAATTTCAAGTTCAAAAATATTAAATAAATGCAACCCAAAAAGCAGTGAAATTTTTGTATTATTATTTGGGAACTGGGAAGCATTTTTGGGGTTTTTGGGGGATTTTGGTTTTGCCTTCTTTGTTTTTTTTTTTTAAAGAAGTAATTGATGCACTGGATTTGTATGGCATGCAATACAGCACTGTTTTACAGATTTCCCAAAAGAACTTTAATTCAAAAGCAGCAGCACCATGGCTGTGTTATCAAGTCACTACATTTTAATAATTCCGGTCAGTTCCCAGGTCTACATCTGTCACATGATGATACATGAAATTTAAAACCACTTCAGTACAAATGTTAATATTGGCAGACAACATTCAGTTTCTAATGACAAAACCAGTAGTTACATCTAGCTGCAGGACTGAGAAATGGGTTTTGCACATACATTTATCAACCCTACAAGTGGGTAAATGATGCAAAAAAAAATCATTGAATCATAGAATAATTTAGAAGGTCTCTTGCCCAACCTTCTGCTCAACACAGGGTCACAGCTATCAGATCAAACTGGGTTACTCAGGGCTTTATCCAGTTATTAACTAAAAAAATCTGTAGCTCCCAAGTGATAGCTGGTACCTGCTGCTGGGTGAAACAATCTGGTCCTCTTTCATTTGTTCACAATATTAACATCAGTAGAGTATTGCAAATAATCAGCATTATAGAGAAAAACCAACAGAGTACTAATATCTTCATTTAGCACTATGCATCTACCTGCAGGGAAGTTCTGTACATTGAACTGAAGGCCTCTTACAAATTTGTTACAAAGCACTTAACCTACAAAGATGATGCAGTTGAGAAAGAATCATGGCTCCATAAGGAGCCATCTGCTTGACAGATGCAGCTAAGAAGTGTTGTTTCACCTTGCAAAGGAATCTCTGAGTAAGAGGAAAAGATAAGAAAGCACTCACTGGATGAACATCCTGTAAAATCAGAAAAGCAAGAAATAGGAAACCATGATACTTTTAAAGTAATATAAGCTTTCTCATGTCTTTGGTTATTGCAAATATGTCATGGCAACACTTGATTTGCAAGTTAGAATGGTGTATTTATGAGACAGTATGATTCAAAAAAAGTCTTTTGCTTCAGTGGTCTGGTAGATTACTGCTCTTTCATCAAAAGGAATAGTAGGGTTATAACAACTTCCAAGAAGACACACACAGAATTAAGGCTACAGTATGACTATTCCCTGCCAATTTCTTAAAGTACCAGAAAAAGGAGCACAGTCACATCTGGACATAGATCAATTTTTCAGCTGCCTGAGGAAACAGCAGAAATCTTGCTATCTTAGAAATAGTATGAAACACCTGTTCCACAAGAATTCAGAACAAATATTCTTAGAAGGTTTAATGTAAGACCATTAAAGATATTATCTATTAATTAAAAGTTATATTGGTATGTGTTATGAAAAAATTTCAATGAACCTCAAAAGATGCAGAAGTACATTTCAGCTGGAGAGCGCATACTCTGTAAAGATATGGTGTAAAAAGGTCATAGCACATGCTTTTGCCACTGTTTTTAAAGAATGTTGTCGTTTTACACGATTGGCAAATTTCTAAAAAAGTAAGAATTTAACTGGCTAAGGGGATAGGTATGCTTCTGTTGTCTACAAGAAAAAACAGAAGCACAAGATAAAGACAAGAAGAAACTAGAAAGACACTGGGACTGTTCATTCTCATTACTTCATAGAATGTAGGAGCATTCTGGAATAAACATAAACCTAAGAGGTTTAAAAGATTCTCACATCTGAAAAAAAATCACTAGTGATTAAAAACATACTCAGTGGGTGGGAGAGGGCATTTCTGTTTACTCAGCAGTTTCTCATGTGTTTGTAATGCAAACCTACAAGAGAATGTATATAAGGAGAGAAGCTTGTACAGCAGAATTATGATATAGTACAACATACCTTTTTCGGGAGAGGTACTGTCTTTCTAATTGTCATGCACAAGAAATAGTACAACAGTTTCTCATACTGCTATTTCCTGAGCAATATAATTACACAAACAGTATACAATCTCAGTGTCTTAACCAGTCATAACCACTTCCCTGTTATCCCATTTGTAAACAAAAGCTGAAAATGCCCAAAGCAATTGACTAAAAAACCTTTACAAACAAAAATAAGCATACATGGAATGCCAATGATCAAGCACCCTGAAGCACAGGAGCTAAAATGTACGATGCGTAACAGCACATTTGAGGATTACTTATTAGTTAGGAATGACAAAACAAGCAAAGTTATGGAAAGAACTATTTAGTCAGGTAGCACTGCTAAAATAAAGGTCATAATTGTAACTACTAATTTACCTGAATCAGAAATCACCACTCACACAGGAATATTTGTTTTTTCACACTTATAACAGTAAAAAAAAGTTCACTAGCATCACAATTTGTATCATTCAGTGAATACTCAAGAAATGGATTCTCTCAGTCAAAACCAGACTCACACAAAACAATAACCCATCCAATAGACTGTACTCTACTTAAGAGTCACCACATTTGCTAGCAAGAGAATGGGAAAACTAAGTTTTACATCTATCCAGTCACACAGAACAAGCATTGCAAGAGTCTGATGAAGCTGAAGAAAAAGATTAAAATAATAATATGGAATAATCAGTACACAATCCTGTCAGACAATAACATGCTTACGAAAACTACATATTTTTTTTTTTACAAACTACAAAAATTGTGTATAATCCCCTTGAAATTAAAAAAAAAACATATAAATTATAAAAAACATTCAAATTTAAGAGTTTAGACTACCTTGATCATTAATAAAAGATGTCTAGATAGAACAGGAAAGGCTGACTTCTTAAGAAGAGGGTGGCAAACAGTTCAATACCTTCTAATGAATGTTGGCTTTCATCATATACTCCACTGAGACTTTTTCCAGCAGCTATTTTAGTTCCCTCTGCACTAGTAGTCATTCTTGTATCTACTAATGATCGTTTATCATTGACCTTGGAAACCTATAATCATACAGTCAAATATTACTATTAAAAGGAGAAACAACAGGCAAATATAAGATGAACATTACTTATCCTAATACAGATTAATAAAGTTATTTAAAATAGTTGTAAAACCATCTAGATGAACTTCTCAACTTCTTAGGCTTCACTAAGCTAGATGAAACCACAATGTCCCATTATTTATACATGCAGTAATTTAAAGATGAACTTAGAGATCTAGAAAAACATTGCCATTTGGAAACATCAGTGGCCAAGATTAACCTTAATTTTGTGACCTTTCCCATTACTTTTGTTTATATCCACAGATAATTTTTTAATCAAGCTCTTATATTTTTATCCTCCCTTACCAATCCAGTAAAAACTGACATTTTTTCTCCTTTTTTGTACAATATTGCATCAGTAACAAATTTTCCAGAGAACTTTGGTCCTATTCATCACTAAACGGTTGTCATGCTAAGTAATAAGCTTATCGGTTATTATGCAGTATTGTATGCAGTATAATTTCAAAAAAAATAATGTTTCTGCCCAACTCAGAACTAACAGATGCAAAAAGTTCACTCTGAAACACTGGTTCTCCTGCAACTTGTTACTGTCTGTCCTTTTACCTTGATATACTAAAGGCATCTTAAATTCATAAATAAAGCTGCAAGATCCAAAGCACAGCTCTGTAGATTCTGTAAGAAATTATATTATCACTGTATTGATGCACATCACTTATACCTAGAGCACCACAAATATACTTACCTGGAATTTAACTCTGTTACGTGGTGCTCTTATGGTGCAATAGTTTAAAAATCCAGTCCAAACCTGCTGAGTTTTTGGAAACATGCAACTGCACAATCTGCCATCTTTCAACTGAAGCAACAGAATTCGAGCACTACAAAGACTTTTAGCTGTCCACATTTTCTGAAAAGCGACCTCTGGATCCAGATGTTGTGGTAACCAAACTAATAACTCTTAGAAGCAGTTATGCCACAGAGTTACAAAGAACGTATCAACAGATGAGCTTGGACACCATGGAAGTACACAGTAGAAAATTTGTCTTCTAAGTATAACCTGTTTAAACACATTAAGAAGAGGGGAAAATAAAGAAAAAAGTAGTTGAAAGGTAGTAACATATCACAGCTCTCTTCACAAACCTCTCACTTAAAACACAGATGCATTAACAGTTGATTGACTTGACAAGGAAAGTCCTAGGCAGAACTTTTGTTCAGCAG